TACAACATTTGCGGGCTGTAAATTAAAGTGGTGCTTTGTTCCCCCCTTGTTCCATGTAGTTACAGGGTAAATAGAACATTTGCGGGCTGTAAATTAAAGTGGTGCTTTGTTCCCCCCTTGTTCCATGTAGTTACAGGGTAAGTGGCTACAACAAATTGCTCTGAAACGATTGTTTATACAGTAGGTCATACATACATTCATTATATATCAGGTAATGTATCAATAAACATGGTGGACTGTTTTATTTAATTCAAATATTGTTTGCAATTTACTATAGGCCTACTGCTGGGTTATATTAACCCAAAATGGGTTTTAAAATTAAAATCACACACAATATGACAACACAGGCAACAGATAGCCTAATAAAAGATTAAAATTGATTACACCAGTTCAGAAAAAAGCAAAGTAACTCCATACTTGTACAGCTTATACAGTTAAATCAAATTCTTTTGAAAAGCTTGTTTAAGAATAAATAGATTTTGTTCAATTTGTTAATGTTTTTCACCCACTGACGAAGTTAAACTATAATGGCCAAACCATCGCGCCAATAAACACAGTAATAAACACTGAAAGTCAAGATTAAACTGTATTATAGCGAACTGACAGGATTTTACTGTCTTTGATTTACCGTTTTGATCCACATCCTCAAGCACCATTTTGACTAACATATTTCAGTTCCCGGTTTTACCGCTCTGATCCACGTCCTCAAGCACCATTTTGACTAATGTTAGTTCAGTTCCCAGTTTTACCACTCCTCAGTCGCTGCTCAATGTTGTGAGAACATACTCGGACAAAACCCTCCAGTTTTAAAAGAACACATTCCAGTCAGTTTCAAAAATCTGTCTCCTCTTCGTTTCGATTAGTTTTCTTGTATTTTCTACACATATTCCTGTCATGAGCGCCGCAAACACTGATAGACTCGTCTCATTCGCCATTCCAGCTGTTTCCAGATCACACTCACCACATTCACTGCTCCAGTTTTAAAGGAATTCACACTCCAGACAGTTTCAAAGTTGTCCCTCGTCTGCGCTTCGATTAGTTTTCTCCTATTTTCCACACATGTTCCCGTCTTAAGCACCACAGTCACGGATTTCGTCGCACACAGAACCGTTCACGTTTGAACTCGCGTGACTTGCTGCATGCTCTCATTCACGTCCTCCACATTCATAACCCAGCAATGTCGGGTTACTTATTACTGATATCAACCCAAATTGGGTCAAATCAAGCCAGCTTCCTAACCCAACAGTCTCAACCGAGCGTTTGGATTGAAACAATTACCAGCGTGTTTTATATGTGTAGGCTATAAAAAAAGTACACAGTGTATGTTTTTGCTAAATCGCTTGCAAATATAAGATTGTTGTTAGTCATACATACCCGTAATATTAGAATAGAATAACGTAATATTATATGTATATATATAAAAATACACCTTGCTACGTGTACTGCGTTAGGCTAACCGAGACTTGTCATTTGCACTTATATATTGTTGCTCTTTTGTTAGTTTT